AGGCCGCTGTCACACTCGCCCTGCGGTGCGTTTGGCTTTGGGGGTTTTTTTCGACGGGTGTTTTATCGAGTGAAACCCAGCCGGGAAGTTCGGGAGGGTCGCTCCTAGCTCCGCTCGGTTCCCTGCCTCTTCGCTTGTCGCTTTCAAACGTGCGATATTCGATCGCGCTTTTTTGAGGATTGCTTGTCCCGCGTGGCTCCTGTCTGTACGGGAAAGGAATGGCCTGTCTGGCTGTGGAAACGCCGGGGGTTTGGGGTTTTTTTTTTTTTTTTTTTTTTTTTTTAGTCAACTCACATTTATCAATGCAATCTACTAGACTGATCAAAGAAAGTAAGAAAGACTCAAGTCCTCTAGTCTTGGTCTTTCGAAAAAAAACCAAAAAAACAACCTTCTTTAATCTTCCAACTTGTGAAGGATATAAAATTTACCCACACCGTAATTTTAAGATATGATACGGGTTTTCCGGTTGGGTCAGGGGAGGCGGAATGCCTGGGTCCAGGTGAGGAGCAGCGGCTGTTGGCATGAGAACCGTTTGAAGTTGCGTGTGGGATGGAGCGCAGCGTCTGTCGGGCCTGAATCTTTGTGAAGGCTCTGGTGGGTAGTGTGTACCGGTAGCAGATATAAAAGCAGCATAACTGGGGTTATGCTTTCTCTTGCTGCCCTGTGTAAACACCAGTTTCTCCAAACGTGTCCTGCCTTCAGCTTCCCGTGTGCGATTGCAGTGGTTGCTCACCAGAAATAGTTCCCAGCTTTCCACGCAGGCAAGCGTGTGTCAGTGGCACTGAGATTCTTCTGCTCGGTGTTGGAAAATGTCTCTTGTGCAGAAGTAAAAAAAAAAAAAAAAAAAAATTGATTTATTTTCATAAATACACAAGGCGTTGTTTATATGAGGAGTAATTTTGATGTTTTTCTGTAGGTAACATTCCTTACATCTGAAGATGCCGCTCCTTGGGAATATTGTTGTAATTAAACGGAATGGGACTGATGGAATTTGTTTTCCACTCACTGCAAGTTCTTGTTTATTTGGAAGGTGAGAATTAGTTGAGGACTTGCATACATTGAAGTAATATTACTGATATTTTTCCTGTAGATTACATGTTTTAGTACTTGCAAGAATAAATGTTTATTTGTGAATGACATTTAGGGGAGGAAGGTGATATTGGAGTAATATTAATTGTAAGACTAAAAAGCTGGACCTAAATATTGTTACTGCTTTTTGTCCTTTCCTTGCCAGAACTACGTTGTTATTGTTGTTATTGTTGTTATTGTTGTTATTGTTGTTATTGTTGTTATTGTTGTTATTGTTGTTATTGTTAAAGTTCCTGGCCAAAGGAAGTCTGGGGAGGGGATTGAAAGTAATACACAGCTGACAAGCAAGTGATGGTATTCTTTAATCCAGAGGCAGTTTCCAGATAATTGGCTAGTGAAGAGAAGCAAGGTACATGGCTTAGATTCAACCATCTTCATTACATCAGTGCTCTTCTCAGTTTTGTTTTTTTTTTTCTCTAAAACCTCAGCACAGCTGACAAGCAAGTGATGGTATTCTTTAATCCAGAGGCAGTTTCCAGATAATTGGCTAGTGAAGAGAAGCAAGGTACATGGCTTAGATTCAACCATCTTCATTACATCAGTGCTCTTCTCAGTTTTGTTTTTTTTTTCTCTAAAACCTCAGTCATGGGCTATGTCAGCCAATATCTAGATCTAACACTAAAAGTTAGTAAGAACTTGAACCTCTTCCTCCAATCCTGAAACTCGCGTTGTTTTACACAGTGATAGTGAGTTTGGAGCTTGATCCGGCTATTTTACATTAAAAGATAAAATTAATATACCTGAATGGTGTATGTGAAGACTTGACTAGATGATCTTACTATAAATAAGCTTGAAAAAAATTTTTTTTTACTACCCTTAATCTAGGTCTGTTCAGCACTTTACAGGCTGCTAGATATCTTAAATAACTGTAATTATGGAGTCCGGAATTGGATTCCGTAGTGAAAGTCTATGGGAAGCACTCCAGTGTCAATAATACCGTTCGCTGTCTCCGGCAGAGCTGCCCGGACAGGCGGTACTTACTGGCACAAACATTAATTTCTGGCAGCTGCATCGGTGAGAGGCGTCAGGTACTTGGGTGAGCAGTACCTCTGGTATGGTAGCTGGTGTGTTCGCTGCCTAGGACCTACAGCGTGTCAGAAGCATTAGACATTAGGTTAGAAAGAAAGAAAGGAAGAGAAAGTCTGTACAATGAAACAGAGCTTTCACTTACTCACTGGTTTTAAGAAGGTAGAAGTGGCTATCCAGGTGAGACCAAAGGTCCAGCTACCTCGTGTTCTGTCTCGGAGCGATCAGGAACGAATGCCTAAGAAAGAGCTTAAGAGCACACACTGGTATTTTCTAAAAATATTCCACAAGTCTTCAGCAACTTGCAAGTCAGGAAACAAGTAATCTCAAACCACCGGATATCTGTTGTAGAAATGCCTCTTTCAGCTTGTTGTGAACTGCTTTTTTCAGAATTTGGGTATTTTGCCTTTTTTTTTTTTTTCCTGATAGAGATTCTAGAAGTGTAAGCTCCTGTTATTTTCTTGCCACGGTTGAAAGACTTGGGTAGTTCATTTTCTTCATGTTAGCAAATTTAAGGAAGCGTCATGCCGCTGTACAATTGTTAGCTGAAAAGATGGGAAATTGCCTAATTCTGTAGCAGTCAGATTCTCCTGTCTTCTGTGTTTCCTGAAACTCAAATTGTATTTTCATCCACAGGAGAACAGAATGTGATATTCGCATCCAGTTGCCTCAGGTCTCGAAAGAACATTGTAAAATTGAAGTAAATGAAAACAAGGAGGTAAGATACCCGTATTTTAATGACATAACGCATTGCATTGTTGCATCTCATCAGGCTGCTGAAATGTTTGTTTTATTTTTAGGCGATATTGACTAATTTAAGTACAGTAAATCCTACGCAGCTGAATGGTGGTTGTTTTGAGCAACCTGTACTGCTGAAGCACGGTGATGTGTTAACTATTATTGATCGTTCTTTCAGGTAAGTGCCAGTGACAAAGTGTTTATGCCTCGGTCCTAGAATGTGTTCTGCAGGCAACCAGTGCAGAGAGCTTTGTGGATGCGGGCTCGTACTGCTGGGTGAAGATACTGAACGTGGCTGTAAATAAATGGGAAAAATTAAAATGTCCTTTTACCGTCTTCAGAGATGGAAGTTAATGTAGTTTATTTCATATTTCTTCACAATGTCTTGCAGAACTTCAGAAGACAGGATTGCTTAAAGATTTTTTGTCACTTTTATGTTATGTTAAGCTAAACCAGTAAAGATAGAATTGTCTAGAGAGATCGTTTTGATTTTGTTTCAAGGGTAGTCAGTTTTACGGGAAAATGTACAAGTATATTGATGTAGTTAAAGCATTTAAAAGCAGTATGTGCATGTTGTTGGGAGCAGACAACTATTGCTAGGTCATTTATCCTAATGCAATTTAGTCATCAGCTATGTGACAAAAACTGGTTGCCCTTTTAAATTCTTCTTCCAGATTTGAATATCCTCTCCAATCAACTCCAAGAAAGAGGCGTTCCAGAGCTCCAAAAGATGAAACACTGCAGGTAGTTTTGTGGCCATAGGATTACTTATTACAAGCACATCGGTATTAGTAGTGACATGGTATTCTATTTCCTTGCTCTGTTTTCTGATTAGGAATAATTTTTTTTTAGCCATATACTACCTTTCTGCTTGAAAATACAATTAAGCTCCTTCAGATGAATACTTTAATTTTAGACTTGTTTATTTCTGGTAATAGACACGTAATAATCTATGATGTTACTAATACAGGTAAGCTATTCAGAATTAATCCTTTCAAGGGAAGATGGGGCGCAGGAAATGCAGAATATGGGCATTGGTAATCCTTGTGCTTTAAATGGGGAACTTTACCCTAGAGAATGAGCATTCTTTTTTTCAAAAAGAATCTGGTGTTCTGTGTACACTAATGTACTGTTGGAATTTATAAATATCAAACTAAGGCTATCTTTTAATAATTTATTTTCATGAGCTGCTTGTTCTTTTTTGTTCTCAGCAAAGTTTTCTCCCTTAAAGGGAACGGTATTAGTTTGTGAGTACTGTAGCTTTTGAAAGATTTTTTTTTTTATTATTATTTTAATATTAAAATTCTCTTTATTAAAAATCTTCCGTTAGGTCTGGAAAGAAGGTGAGATTCAAACGTGCTTGTATATATTCTTATGCTACAGCTGCTTTTACAGCTAGTATTCTTCATGATAAAAGAAGACTTAAGCGCTTGCTATATAGGGCCTGAAATGAATATGGGTTATTGTTCTTAAATTTCAAATCCTAAAGTATTTCAAATACTTTTAAGTCTGTTCAGTAAACAATGCATATACTTTTATAAATCTAGTGTTGTTCAATGTAGAGTTGAAAGCTAAACTGTAAAATATTTGTTGCTCTGCTGTAATGTTGTACAAATTTACAGGTTCTTCATGTTCAGCAGGTGGCAGAAGTGGAATCTCTACTCAAACAAACTTCAGGATCTAAAACGCTTCATGCTTGCGGTTGGTACCTGTTTTATGGGGGCTTTGTTTTCTCTTCCCTCTTAACTGCATTTGTTCTTAGCATTAGAGGAAAAACAAGGTTGAAAAGAGCAAATGAAATGTATTTAAAACTTTTCAACCTGAGTAGACTACACTTTGCTGCGTCAGTGTACTGTCTCATCATACTTTAATGCTGTGATTTACCAAAGCTAAGTCCTGCCAGGAGAAATCCATTTAATTGCATCCAGACAAATAGGCAGTAGCAGCCTAGAATTGGCAAAATTCATATATAGTGCTTTAAGTGATTTGTGCAAATTCCGTTTAGGAAGTTTATAGCTAAGAAGGGAGCTCAGTACACCAGCTCTGCAAATGCAATGCAAATGTCTGTTGAAAATGATATGTGAAACAATTCCCTATTACGTTTTACTTTTCAGTGGCATAGAACAAGTATGACATGAAAAATTCAGCTCTGTGATTACAATTTAACTTGCAGTTCTCATGTTAACCTGGAATACAGCTAGACCACTTTTGAGCAAATATTGCATTATATCTTCCTAATATGAAATTGAAACAGGTATAATTTGGGGGGGG